TTAGATAATAAATAAATATAAAGAAAAAGAACTTGAATGTATGTGGAGGTAGCAACTGCAGGAATGTTACCACCTCTAGGGCTGAGAGAACAATGGGGAAAGATTGAAATTATTAAAATTTAGAAACTTGGAGGAGGATTCCTGCAGAACTGAAACTGACCTTTGAGAAGGGGGGCTGCTCAACTGGTGCCTGTGTCTCTGAGGGGCTGCCATGAGGCTGGCTTTACAAGTGCTGGGTAAACTACAAATTGGATCCAATGGCTGCAACAAGGAGAACCTGTTGGGGCAAAGAGCCCTTGCTAGGCTATACTAACAGGAATAGGAAGAAGTGTGTCCCCTGTCCCTCCTCTAGCCTCAACAGGCCCTATTGACAGAGCCAAACATGGAGCAATTGGCAAAGTGGAAATGTGGCCTGCAGAGTCCCAGCTCCTAGTACTAGCAAGCTGACTGAAGTAGAGAAGCATGGGGTGAGAGATGATAATTTAGTAAGTGGCCTTCATGCTCGGGTGTAGAGGCTCAGGTATAGGAATACAAGCCCAAACAGAGATGGTGGATTCCCAAGTGGGGGCCAAGGTGGCTCAGCTTATTGACTTTGGAGTAGAAGAGGAAGTGCAAGAGGGAACTGAGCATGACTGTTTCCCTTGCAAGGCCCAGTACTCACATCCACTAATAAAAGATCGCCCATGAATGTACTGTGTGCTTACCAAACAAAATAACAACTCCTCCCCTTGGTGGATGGGCTGTGGTCCCAGCCAGGCAGAAATGGGAGAGGAGACTCAGATGACCTCTTTCTCCTTGTGGGGGAGGAGTAGAAATAGTAGTATATGTAATGTGTCTGGCTTAGAGCTAGGCACATAGTAGGCATTCAATAAATGGTGGCCATTAGTCAAGGAAGGAAAGGTACAAATAGATTAGGAAATGAAGTAGCTGGCTATATATTTTGGAGAGAGTCCAGGACTTTGAAGACCTGAATCCATACTAAGTGAATGACAAGAGCAAGATCCTTGCCTCTCTAAACCTAAAGTTTCTGTATGTGTAACATGGAGATTATAATACTTGGGACTAATGTCTTATAATAGACCTTAACATATGGTAGCTATTTTGTTCAATTATCAATTGTAGAAATAATAAGCTTGATTATTTATTACTAGAGGCCCGGTGCATGACTTCGTGCATGAGTGGGGTCCCTCAGCCTGGCTGGTGATTGAAGTCTATTGGGGGGCCAGCTGGCTGGAGAGAGGGGCCCCGGGAGATTGGCCAGCTGGCCCCCCGATCAGGGCCTATGGGGGGGCGGCAGGGTGGAGAGAGGGGCCGCAGGAGGCTGGCTGGGCGGGAGGGGGAGGAGCCGTGTGAGGTTGGCCTTGGAAACACACTGACCACTGGGGGGCAGCTCCTGCATTGAGTGTCTGCCCCCTGGTGGTCAGTGCACGTCATAGTGACTGGTCAACCAGTCATTCCGGTCATTCCAGTTGTTAGGTCTTAATGGTTGCTTAGGCTTTTATATATATAGGTTGATGTTGTTAATAGTAAATAGAAAGAGGTCATTTATTTCACTTCATAATTGTGCAGATGAAGAAACTGAGACACAGAAAAAGGTCAGTAGCTCTATGCAGGTTAAGAGCTTGGGCTCTGGTCAGTGAG